ACACATGAGTGGTCGCTAAAATGCTGATTCCTGTTCTCCTTAGTTTTCCCGTCCCTTGCACTGGAGTCTACAAGAAATCCGCAATACCGGCGAGAGCAGCTAGGCATGCGCGGTGAAACTTTCGTTATCTGCCCTCCATTCGTCGAAATCCCCTTCCTTCAAACGCGGAGGAGAGTATTTGTGACAGAAGAGCTTCAGCTTGATATCCAGAAGATCTTCAGGATCTGGTCTCCTTCCTGTCTTGAGTATTTGTATCGCACTGCTGAGGTCCGCGGCCAAAGTAGTAAAGAAGCGGTTGCGTCCTGCGAAGTATGCTCGTGGGGTCGGGGTGGGTACAGCGTGGCTAATGGCATCGGTGAGTTGCTTCCAAGCGGAAGGGTCTGGTGTCTGATGCAGCACAATGAGGGTGGAAACCACCGTTTCCAGGATGAGGAAACGGAACGCCAGCCGCTCAGCTGCACGGCTTGCTATCATTTTTGTGACGTCGCAACGGTGATGAGCATAGGAGACTGCGTGCGTGATCAGGTCTTCTACTGTTCCCACCAACTCCATTATCTGTGCAAGCCCCAAACATGGCTGCACAAGAAGCCGACGGGCCTTCCGGAGAAGCGGCACAGGGTTCCGCTTGCCGCAATAAGTGGACACGGCGCGCTTAACGTCAACCGAGCAAAACACAGGAGGCACTGTAACTTCTAGCGTCGGCAGATGCACAAAAGGGTGTTCTTTCCGTGGAGGAGGTGGAGAGTCTGCCTTCTCCATCAGTTCTGTGACTGTCGATGTCGAAGCAGAGGCAACAACAATAGAACCTGCTCCTGCTGAAATTGCTTCTACACTTGCGCTGTTACTAGTCACTAAAGCGGTAAGAAGCGGCATCTCCTCGGCGCGCCTTGCCCCCGCAAACACCGATGAACCAGGGTCCGCATTACGCCTATAAAGTGCGGCTGCTGGCCCTCCATCCTCTGAGGTACCAGGTGCATCAGCGTCATAACCTGAAGCCGATGCAACAGCAGCTGAATGAGATGGGGGATGATGAGGTTGTGAAAATCCCGGAATCGCCTGGATCCCGATGTCCTCGGGCGTCGAGGGACCTGCTGGTACAGCAGCAGCAGTAGACTGTAACGCCTGTTGAGAGGTGCTGGGCTGAGGTGTCTGAAGCCTTGGAGGGCCGTGGGTGAGCCACGCATCTTCTACCATAGGCGCCGAGACCGATTCAGCAGGTTTCAAACGCTGGCTCTGTGGCTCCCCCAGAAGCTCCGCACCCTCCTGCTGTTCCCGCTTTCGTTTCCGCTGCCCCCTGGTTGGATCGTGTTGCTGTCCACTCTTTTCCTCTAGCGTCACTTGTTGCTCCTCACGTGCCCTTGCCTGCTGGTGCATTTGCTGTTGCAACCGGTGCTGGTGCCTTGGCTGCTGCATATGATCATTCCCCTGTTGCCAATTGTGGGGCTGCCAATGGCTGCGTCGCTGGTGCTGGTTCACGTCGTTGTGGGGGGCCAGATGATATTGGCGGTTCCACAGCCTACTCTGCACCTTCTGCTCCAGCGGGTCCAGCTGTCGCCGCATCTGGCACATCTTCTCCTGCAGCTTCTGCAACTCCTCATACACCCATACGCACGAAGTAGGAGCAACATCTCCAGCAGCATCTTCGTGAGGGAGGTGCATGAGCTGCCCTGCGCCTACATCGAACGGCTTCGGCGCTTGCATTTGCAGAAAATGCGCAGCTGGTTGCTCAACCAGGACTTGTGGGTAGCCAAGCTGCTCTGGCCTTGGAGCCGCGCTGGGTGGGGGTAAACGTAAATCGGCTCCAGCGGGTCCATGGAGAGGTTGATGCTGCTGTTGCTCCTGGGGATCATGTCCACCATCACCAAAACCCGCCCCAGCTACACGCGAACGCAGCCTCTTCTTAAGGGGCAATTTCAGCTCCTCGCCAGCAGGAAACCTGGAGCCCTGCGGAATCTGGCGTTGTTGCTGATTCTCTTCGTCACCAGATACGC